TCTATAAACTCACTAGGGGGGACCAGAAGGGTTTGGGAGAGACCTTGTTTCCCCTAGCACTCCCTGGCATAACAAGGAATAATGGCCACAAGTTGTTGGAGAGTAGGTTTAGATTAGACATCTGTAAGAACTACTTCACAGGGCGGCTAGGAGCTGGAACCAACTTCCAAGGGAAGTGGTGCTGGCTCCTACCCTGGGGATCTTTAAGAGGAGGCTTGATGCCTACCTAGCTGGGATCATTTGAGCCCAGTTTTTTTTCTCCTGCCCTGGCAGGGGGTCGGACTTGAAGATCTATAATGTCCTTTCCGACCCTACTTCTATGATTCTATGTCCTCCAAAAGTGTATGTTCACTACTTTCCCAGTGCTTTCAGAGACACGCCTTTCAAGCACAGCCTAACCACCCACTCCATACCTGTCAAACTGGATATGAACTATGAAGCTACCTTGTGGAGTTCTTTACCATTGCTCTCAAAATCTGTCCTTAGCATGCTTGAGAGCAGCAGCAGGATGCATTCAGGATGGCTTCACTGCCCTATTTTGTGTGTACAGAGCAGGAGACGGGTGGGGTTTATTGGGGAATCAGGGCAGCATTATCCTCACCTTCTCCTCACACCTTGTCTTGGACAGAATGCATACTGGGAAATGCAACTGCGTGAAGGACACAAGAGGTGGAGTTGTGGCCACTTGTACTGACTACTTAAGCACTGTGGAGATTTCTTGCTGCATCTTTCCCTTGTCTCTGGCCTGCACATGTGACTTGCCCACCTGTTTGTATCTCTGAAAGTCTCTGGAGAAGGGGCTGTCCTTCAGTATCTTTTTTTACAGTTTCTAACACATAGTGGTATGCAACCTGGTTGTGCCCTATAGTTACTAGAGTAATGTTTAACAATTATAAAGGAGCAAGTTTTTACATCCCTTTTGTACTCCTTAACTAAATATATTAATAATAAAAGGCTATTTTGCAGCACTTTAAGATGACGTTCTTGTTATCATCAAGATAGATATTTGAAATCTCAAATGTCTCATGAATTTTAGAAAATGTTTTATACAAGAGAATGAGGTAATGTGTCTAGTAAATTTCAAGAAAATTAGTTGATATATTTTAAAATAGAAATAAATGTTAAGAATCGTAATGACATTTAAGATTGACTCCTCTTCCCCCATGAATACCACCTTCCCTTTTTAAACATATTTAGAATAAACATATTAAACCATAAGTGCCAGGTGTTGTTCCAATTTTGTACTGGCAATTTGCTGTACATGAATACGTGTGTGTGTGGGTGTGTGTGTGTGTGGGTGTGTGTGTGTGTGTGTGTGTGTGTGTGTAGACACACATGCACGCGCGCGCACGCACACACACACACACTGATTTAACCTTCAAACATCTCTCTCTCTGTTTTGCAGAATGCAAGCAAACCATAGTACCACTTTCTACATACTTGATTCCTTTAATAACTAATATGGTAGGTTTTTTTCCTGACTGGTAAGACAACTGAAATGGCATTAATATCCTGAAGAACACAAAGATTTGTGAATGAGCAAAAGCGTTCAGATTATATGTGAACATGTTAGCTTACAGCCCACTAAAACCCTGCAAAATGTTTCCTTTCTCTGCTAGAGGAAGTCTGCAGACTAGCATTATGTCAGTGATTCTCAACCAGGGTTTCTTGAGATCCTTTCAGGGGTGATACAGGGTGTCACACAGTGTTATTAGTGTTAGGTGTGCAAACATGATTCACAAGTTAAACCTAGAGGATACATCCAGATGAGCAGGAACATGTGGTATATGGTGCTGCAAGCCCATCTGCAGCACTGCACATAGCACATGCAGGCGTTCCATACTACTAATTTGCAGTGCAAGGAAGGGCAGAAGGGAGGGTTGATACCAGTAGCCATCTAGTTCCAGGTGCAAGGAGCTCAGCAGGAGCTTGCTACCTAACTGTTTACTCAAACTCCTGGACAAGTTTTGCAGCAAGTTCTGTACTCAATTATTGTCACACTGTAGTCACAATTTCAAAGTTAACTTAGGTTTAATGACAGCTTAGGTGCCGATCTCAGAGCATGACTCTAGGACTGGAGGTGCTACATACAAGCTTGCATTACTTATGCCCAAATCCATATCTGCAACTTCCCATTTACTCAGGTTTCATTCTCATGATGTCAGTGCTAACATCATGTTACTAGCTCTCTAGCTGTCCGGAGTCTTACAGAAGAAACAGTTAAAATTGTTTCTGATGTGTAAAGATCCTTAAAAATACTTTACAACCTTATCCTAACCTTCTTATAGTCATTTTAAACCAACATACTCAAGAATTTAGTCTACTAGTGCTATCTTATATGGAATTGTTCACTGTTTGCATTTATAAGGTGTCATAATTGAACAAAGCCCAGGTCCATGACTGTGGTTCCTGGATGCTGTGGTAATAGAAAAACACTACAACAAATAATAATAATAATTGTAATAATAGTAATAGACATACTTGTACAAATAGTAATAATAATATCCCTTTCCAATCCCTATCACAGAGATGATTTAGCACACTAGGCAAGGATCAGACCATACCTTTTTCTTGGGGGACAGAGACCATCTACAAACATTGCCTGAATGTGAGACAGAAGATTAAACATAATTCCCAGGTGAAAAATCTTAGAGAAGCCTAATTTTTGGATAGGGGCCCAATGACTCAGAATTCTTCCTTTCCTGTTTATTTGATGTCTATTCCTAATTTGCTATTACCCTCCTTGAAAGACTCCAAAACATGACTCCACTTAACTAAGTAATTCTGGAAACAATGATCAATCATAACTACCCATCAGTAGTGAATATCAGATTCTCACAGCAAGCTGGGCAGTCAGCTTGCTTGCAGGGGTTTTAAAAATCAAGTTGTTTTTTTTTTCAATAAGTAAATCTGAAATACAAATTCCTTAAAGACATGCTGATTTGCTTTGGATATTCTGCAAACAGCCCAAGAAACTAGTTTGCTTAGCAAATATATTCACACAGACTAATTCATAGACATTAAGCCTATGAATCCTATATAGTGTTTGTTGCATATTTTCATTTTCCTTATTTCTATAACATCAACTAGAAATACATTCCACCCATCTGTAGGATATTACTTCCTTGAATTCTAATCCAGAACCCTACAGCATACAGTTAACAGCAATGAGTAAATCATTTCTTGCAGAAAAAGTTTGGGTTGGTGAAGTTTGTGGTGGCCTGGAGGTTAGTGTTTATGTAAGCATGCATTTCACAGTATAACTGTCAGGCAGAAGGCAAGTTAGAGATGTACCTTGTAGACCAGCGGTGGACAAGATACGGCCCATGGAGGGGCTTTGTCCTGCCCACATCGGGTCCTTGGTCCAGCCTGGCTGAGGCGCCTTCTGGAGCGTCCTGCCACTGTGGGCATGCAGCGAGGCTGGGGCAGCTGGCAGCCTGGGCAGTGGCAGTTCCTTCCACCTGCTGCCACTGCAGCCCCCAGGCCTGTGGTAGCTATGGGGACCAGCGCATGCAGTCCTGGCCCCTTGCGCCCTGCACCGGCTCCAGGCTTGCCCATCCGGGCTGAGCAGCAGCAGTGCAGAACAGAAACTGCTGCGTAAAGTGGGGTAAAAGCCCCTCCCCCTCCCACTGCTGGCCCTTCTACTGCAGCCGCCCAGAGCCCGTGCAGGGCTGCCCTGCGTCTCCGCTGCATCACTGCTGCTTCCGGACCACCCCATGGGGCAGCTGTGGCAGTGCAGACCAGATCAGGGCAGCCCCGTGTGGGCTCTGGGTGGCTGCACCAGGAAGTACTGGCAGTGGGAGAAGAAGGGGCCCTTTTACCCTGTGCTGAGGAGCAGTTTCTGCCTTGCACCACCACTGCTGAGCCTGGGCCCCAGTGCCTGCTCTGGATTCACCCATCAGGGCTGAGCAGCAGCGGTGGCAGCTGGGCAGAAAGTGTTGCTCAGAACAGGGCAAAGTGGTCCCTCCCTCTCGCCACCACCGGGCAGTTTTTGGTGCAACCGCCCAGAGCCTGTGCCGCACCTGGTCCCCTGCAGCTCCCTGCCTTTGGGTTGCCCTGTGCAGCAGTGGTGACAGTGCAGAGCGGCCACAGGGCAGCCCAGAGGCAGCGGTGATGGAGCTGCCTGGCAGTCCGGGGCAGCGCAGGCTCCGGCCAGCTGCACCAAAAACTATCCGGCAGCGGCAAGGGGAAGGGTCCGATATACTCTGCACCGAACAACACTTTCTGCCCGGCTGTGGCTGCCGCTGCTCAGCCCAGATAGGAAAACCCAGAGCTGGCATGGGATATCCGTGGTCGGGGATGCTTGCGCTGGTCCCTGCCACTACCGCGGGGCTGGGGGCAGCAGAGGTGGCAGCCAGAAGGAGCCACCTCAGTGCTGCTGCATGCCCAGGGGCATCAGGCTGCACTGCAGCTGGGTGGTGCAAAGCGGGTGCAGGCCACACTTAGCGGTGGCGAGGAAGGTGCTGCAGGGCACGCGGGCTCTGGGCTGTTGTGGGGCAGGAGAAGGTGCTGACCAGCTCAGGAGGGGTCGTCTGGGGGCTCCCATACACACCCACATACACCCTTGCTGCCCTTGACAGCTCACCAAAACTTGTTAAGCGGCCCTCAGGCCAAAATAATTGTCCACCCCTGTTATAGACTAACTGAAACAGAGTGTCTATCAAGTGCCTCTACCCACCCTACCTACTACCTGACTTCAGATTAACACAGTTAACTACTCTCTGCTCAAATATAGCTCATCTTTTAAACAGTGAAGTAGGCCGAGGGGGTGAAATAGTTCTGAATTATTATAATTGCTCCTCATACTGGCATTGAGGAAGTTTCTGCTGAAGGCACTGTCATTTAGCTTGTCCTGTGCACTTGAGTGACAAGAATTTATATTAAACTTGTTGACTGGGTAATATTTATGTCAACTGTGTGGTTTAAAAATCTACACACAATTTTTTAATTTGCAGATATTTTAGTTATGCTCATTGAATGCGGATCCACACGTCTTAGAAACAATGCTGGGAGCACTGCCTTATACTCTTGTGAGATAGTGGCCCTCATGTCTTCAATTGTTTTGTTTGGAACAGCTCACTGGCGATTGTATGTTAGTAAAGGATGGAAAGATTCCTGTGTATGGTTTACTGAGTTTGATTTGGAAACGTTCTGGATCAGAAGTGCTTTGTAAATGCTAGCTGATATTTCTCTTCCATTACTGTTCTAAAATTGCTACTAGGAAAGCTGATAGTTCAGGAAACAGCTAATTCAAAGTTCATACATTTCCTCCACCTTAGAGGAGATGACTGAAAGCCTTAGAGATGCTCATTGTAAACTAATATTCATGGAGAGCGCTGACATGATTGGTGATCCACTGCTTATTGGGCAATGTTTGGTGGGTATTTTCAAAAGTATATTTTCTTTTTCAGTTTCAATCCTGTGGACTTTGCACTGAATCATGGTTGGATTAACATTACAAGTTAACAGGCTGTGTTACAATCTGGAAAATTTTAACTCTAAATCACTTTAGTTCCTTAGTTTTTACAGAACTTTGAACTATACATTTGGGTATATCCTGATCTTTGAACAGAACAAAGTTTGACCAAAGGGTTTTTTGCTCTTTCCTTGAAAATTTCTGGTACTGGATGCTGACAGGCAGATGGCTCGCTCATCTGATCTGCAGTTCCTTTGTATACTTGGGTATTTCATAACTGCATCTGAACTGACAGGGCATGTAGCATCTGTGGCTGCCTGTGTACATGCTGGTTTGCATACTAATTGCAATGCATCTAATTAGAAAACTCCAGCGTGGCCTCATCATCACTTGTATAAGACTCTGTGGGTTTTAAAAGGGCCACTGGGGCGCTTTATCTAAAACTCATTGAACGAGGTCTAGATAAGCACCCCACAGCCATTTTTAAACCCACAGGGCCTTAATACATGTGACAGTGGGCACATCTACACAAGACACTTACGATAGCAACGCACTACAGTGACATAGCATCGAAGGGCAAAAACTGTGATGCCGCAGCTACACCGCTGTAGCAACAAACTCCCTTAGTACAACACATTGCTATGGCGATGCATCTAAAAATAACCATGCACCATACAGGCTGTGCAGTATGGGCTGTTACTGTGCCATCAACAGCACAGTAACAATGACACTGTGTGGTTATACCAGTGGCTCTAAATCTTTTTAGACTCAAGGCACCCCTTGGAAATATCAGCACCCCTTGGAAATATCAGCTCTTCATTTTCATTCAATGTTTGACTACAGAAAAAACAATACAGCAGTTCTTCTGTTGCAAAAAAAAAAAAATACACTCAGAAAGACCACAACAGGTCAAAATGTTTTTAACACTGCGGATTCCTATCTGAAATCTCTGGGTTTATCTTGGGAATCATGTTTGCATACCTAACAGTGCTAACATTGCATGAAACGTCACATCACCCCTGAAAGGATCTTGTGGGACCCTTGATGAGTATCTCTGGGTTATACTGAACCACAAGTAGCAGAGTAATTGCAACATTTCCTGTATCTTTTGACCCTTCTGTACACTCCCTCCTCTCACCTCTATTCCTAAAAAGCTGGATGGCAGCTAAGCCCACCTAATTCAGTGTTAACCCCTTCTTTTGCCCACTGATGACTCCAAGCTGCCAGCCCAAACTCTTAGTAGCTCCACACTGTGAAGTCAAATGTGTCTCCAACATACTCTTAACAGCCAAAGCAACACACATGAATTTAAGTGAGTGTCTGGAAGAAGAATTCCAGGAATCTCTATTTCAGCTGCAGAAGCAGAAACAGTGATCAGTATAACACTATCTCAAGCCAGCTTGCTCAGTCAGGCATCAAAAGGAGTAGGATGCAAGGCTGGAAGCAAATCAAGCACCTCAAGCTGCAGTATCACAAGGTTGATGGTACTAATCTAAGCCACTTGTTTCATGCCTATGCTACAGAAAGCTCACTGAGGTGTTTGTCAAGGTTCTGAACACCAAACCTGCCACTTCCACAATCCCATTCTTCTACAGAAGAATCTGATTTATGCACAGGGACAGGACTTTCAATAAGGATTCCCAGGAACAGACCAGTTGACATGCCCCTTGTATTTAACTTGGAGTAGCTGGAGCAAGCTGTTCTACCAAATATTCTTAGTCATCTCAGAGGACCTACTCAGCATTGGACATCCTGTCAGATTGGGATACAGAGAAACTGGAGTTGCAGCCCCGTAAGTGCTTTCTGACATGCTTCTTATTGTTTTAAGGGGAGTTTAGGTGTAAAGGGGGAGGTATTTCATTGTTGATGCCCAACACAGTCAGCGTTAAGAAGAATTTTATATTCTATGGAGTGGTGTAGCCATGTAAAAGATTTACACAGTATCTTGCTTTCCTTCTTCCCCATCTATCACCATCTACAAAAACGTATTCCAAGATGGTGGCTAAATGTGTGTGTGGGGGGTGGGTTGGTACTAAGCACATGAGTCAGACTCAACTGTTTAATCACATTACCCTAGCAATTCTAAGGTCACACGTCTTTCAGATATTGCTACAGAATATCAATATTTTGATAATTGTATTACAATTATGCAGTGCTTATTATTTACATCTTTGTTGAAAAACACAGTTTGTTTATTACAGGTTTATGAGTTTTAACATTGCCCAATTTGTACACACATACTGGGTGCGTCTACACGAGACTCTTTACTGTACAGTAGCATAGTTTACTGAGCAGTAAGTATGTGTGTTTACATGTGCACATGCTTACTATGCAGTAAACCTCATTAATTTTGAAAATGCAAGTAGCTAATTTACTTTAATTAGTAATGGCGCAGTAGCACTTGTGCAGGAGCAAACTTGCTTCCGGGCTGCTGGGCACCAGGGGCAGGAGATTGCTCCCTCTCCCTGGGAGCTGCCTGCTGCTGCAGTAGGCAGCCCTGCCAGCAGGAAGCTCCAAGCCCCACTTTCCAAGATCATAGTTGGGGAGAGGGGACTGAGATATCCTTATCTCAGCCTCTGCTTCACCATCACAATCAGGGTGGGGGGAGCTAGGAGACCCTTATCTCCCAGCATCAGCTCTGCAGTTGTGGGGATTGGACTGGGAGACTCTTATCTCCCAATGCCAGCCCTGTGACAGTGGGGCCAGCGCTGGGAAATCCTTATCTCCCAGCGCCAGCTCCATGGTCATGGGATTGGTGCTGGGAGATCTTCCCCACCCAGCTCCGTACTCATGGAGCTGAGCAGGGAACAGGCTCTCAACCCGCCTCCACGCAATCATAGAGCAGGGACTGGGAACTGTTCCTGTCAGGGGCAGGTCCCAGCCCCATGCCCTGTTCAAGTGATGAAGGCATGGGGCTTGGAAAGAGCTGCAGGACTGAGGTAGGTCCCAGCTCCCTGCCCCAATCTGCTGGTAGCTGCCCCACTGGTAGATCGGGGCAGGGGTCTGGGACCTGCCCCTCCCTTACAGCTCTTTCCAAGTCCCCTGCCCCTGATTAGAGCCAGGGCCAGGATCTCTCTGCTGCTGGGACAGGGGGACATCATCCCCACCCCAGCAGTAGGCAGCTTCCAGGGGCAGGGTGTAAGGCCCCAGCCCAAGCCAGGAGACAGCTGTCTCCCAGCTCAGTGCTCCCTGCCAGCCCCTAGGCTATTACCCAGTGGGAGCCTAGAACTACCCCTGATGGTGACAGGGGCCCATAGTAGGGCCCCTGGAAGCAGAAGCAGTTTGCTGCCATTAGCAGCAAACTTGCTCCCACTTCCCTGCATGTGTAGATGCCTGTCCAGGAGTGTTTACTTGTGAGTAGTGATCCCAAATCAAATGCATGTGTAGACGTGTCCACCATATCCCTTTAATGAGCCATAGTTCTTGGTGTTGCAGTTGCCACTCATTCTTTACTCCTTGCTGGTTCCTTTCCATAGAAGGTGTCCCAAACGGGTAGCAGTTTTTTTGACAAAGGTACTTTTACTGTCTCCTTGCCATTTAGAGTTCCAAGGCATTTTGGTTTTGTCCTTTGTCTATCCAATCCCTGGAAGATTGTGATTTGGGTGGGGGGCCACACATACCAACATATATCAGGCCCATGTGTATCAATTACTCATCTCATTGGATTTTTTTTTTTCTGGATTTTTCTTCAGTCCTGGGAGGTGATGTCTGTAAATTTGTCCTGCAGCAGGAATTCTATCCAGCCAGTTATACTAATCAATAAATCAGACTGCTAGAACCCTGAAATGCCACCTTGCTTTGCCATTCAGAAACCTTCAAATAAAATTGTCTTCAACAGGCTACCAAGTCTGAAAAAGATTGTGGGACCAAAGCTGGTAACTGAGGCCCTCTTCTGAATAAAATCCCTCTCCGCATTGTAAGTTTTTGTCAAAGGGTTTAAGTGAAGTATCCGAAATCAGTAAGCAATCTGCATAAATTAATCATGCCAATTCATGATTCAAAACTATTAGTTTCAGCAAAGAAATCAGCCCTTAGTTAATGGAATCCATAAAATCAGTAAGCCCCAGAAAATTAACAGTCTTCTCACTTCATAAACTTACAGAACAGTATAACAGGTGGTTTAAAAATCTTTAACTTATCAGTACAGTTTGTCCCATGATAATGTGCAATCCAAAAAACAGCATGTGGCTTCCAATCAGTTATTCATTAAAACCACCAAGTATGGCCAGGATAAGAGTACATATGGTCTCCATTTAACTTGGGGTTGTATTGCTAAATGGGATGCTCTTCTTTAATGGTGAGTGGGTATTGTGATAGTTGCACACATACTGCATAAACAGCCAATTTGCAGTCAGAAGAGGCTTTTCTAATGGATCCATGGTTTGGGCCACCAGCAGATACACATTAACTTTGGAAGGTGAAGAACCAAAACATCCACATGCAATGGCAGGTTACTGTCACTTCTGCCCTGGGGGCAACCAAGGAAGGACATGTTATCCCAAAATACAGTTCAGGCTAATATCTAAAATGACACACTTTCTGTGTCACTAGGAAACTTTGGATACAGTCTCATAAATCCTAACACCACAGAAGTGTACTGGGACAGATAGAGTAGAGGCAGGTAGCCAGGCTGTAGCATATATAATATTACTGAAATGAGGATAGTGTTGCAGGCCATGAGTCAGAAGACATGGGTAACTCATAGTATTGGCATGACTGTGGACATTCAGCACCAGGTTCTCAAAAATATTTAGGCACTTTAAGATGCAGGTAGGTGCCTCGGTTTTCAAAAGGGTTGTTTATGCATTTGTATATTAAACAGCCATTATATAAACAACAGAAATTATCCTGGGATTGGGAACCAGAAGTCATGACTCTCCCCCACTTCCTTCAGGATGCCCTAAGCACTAGAGCGAGCTTTACTCTGTAGTCTTGTCCTCTCTCCTGACCCCTTGAATCCTTTGCACAGTGGTACTGATTCAACAGGAAGAGTAGAGTGGGCCCCAGCCAACTTAGTCAATAGCTTCTTGGCTTGGCTACTGTTGTGGGAGGTGGGGAAAGTGGGTTTGAATCCCTTAAGCTCAGAAGGACACTGAACTCATGTCTCCTGTTTCCCATGCAAGTGCTCTAATCACTAGCCTATTACATAAAATCTGTGCATCAGACTGCAAGAACTGGTTAAAAGGAATAACCCTTAGTTCTTTGAGAGAACAGTTGTAGACACCTACCTTCTGAACTCCAAATAGATAGAGCTGCCTTCATGCAGTCACAATTAAGGTTGCCTACGTTCAAGAGACGGGGTTCAGAAATATCTGTATAGTTCAGATCACTTCCTATTGGTGGCTCCTTGCATCTGGGATTTTGAATTGCCTTCTGAGGTACCTAATCTTTCCGGTGTATTGTGTAAGGAGCCTTGGTGTCTAACTCTTTGGATTGCTCTCTGAGGACCAGCAACTAGAAGTTAGACAGTACAGACCCTTATAGGAGCCAAGTCCTTCACTGGATCTGTTCCTACATGCTTAAGGCAATGGGATCTGAGCTTTTGAAAATTGTGTCCCTAGTAAATATAAGCTCCAAAGAACCAGTATATTTAGGAAAAAATGGTAAACTGTTGCAGGAAAGTAAAGTATGTTTTGTTCTTTCTTTAGTCATAAAGTTAGCCAAAGAAACTGATTACCGATTTGAGTCATCAACATGAATTACCACCAATTTCTCTCTACCAAAAGTGCATCAAGAAAATCTTGTCCAATCAGGCTTCTGAGTGAGTATGTAGTTTTCTCCCTTATACCTCTGAATTAGCCCACATCCACCCCACATATTTGTGTGGGGGGTGGATGTGGGCTGCCTGCTGTGGGCTCGGGGCTCTCTGTTCTGCTGCCTCTCCCTTGGTAGCCCCACGTTGGTCATGCACCCCCTGCCCACCCAACAGTAGTGGGGGCAGTGAATTGTGCCTCCCAGTGCCAGGTGGGCAGGGGGTGCAGGGCCCCCAGGGCAAAGGCAGCAGGGCCAAGAGCCCCAAGCCTACATCAGTGAGCCTGCATCTGCCCTTGCCCTGCTCAGCTCAGCTCCAGTCATGGTGGGGGTGGTGGGAAGTGGGGAGATGTGGCCATGTGCCCCCCCACCCCCAGCCTAGCTGGCTCCATTCAGCCATTCCTGTGGGGCATGGAGGTCCGCCTTGCCCTTGGCAGCAGCAGCACCAGGAGGGAAGGGGCCCCTCCTCCTGCTGGAGTCCAGTGCCTGGGACCTGGGGCTGGGCTATGGGGCAAGAGCGGCATGATACATTCATGAATGTGTCATGTTTATAACAGGGTGTGGCGGGCCTTCAATTTTCTGTTTGCCCAAGGCCCCAGTAAATCTTAATCTGCCACTACCTTCACAGGTGATGTCTAACATTCATTCATTGTTAAGAGGTCAACTCCCACTTCCAGTGAGCCCACAATGCCAGGCTCCACCACCTGTTTCTTAGATTTTCAGACAAACCATTCTGCTTTCCCCCATGCCACCCCTCATATTTGGGAAGAACTACTCAACATCTACCCAGCTGCTTCAGGATCTTTCTTCAAACTCCCCTAATGTCACGAAGTCTACAGAGAACTCAATAATGGTTCAGTATCCACTGTTCTGAGACCACTGCCTGTCATGTATCAATATTGTCTCATTGACCCCTAGCAGATAATAAGTTAGTGGCATGATTGGGATCTGATGAATTTTATCCCAGATCCCAAAAATCAGGTGTCCTGCCATATCAGATGTGCATGGTAGCACATGCAATTTCTAGGATCCAGGATAAAATTCATCAGCTCCCAACTTTATAAGCACACAGGGAGTCCAACATTGGGGATCAGTCCCCAGTGCTGTTCTTCCCAATATGGCTTTTCAACTTGTCACCCAAAGAGCCTGGGTTCTGGATCCAGGTCTCCATATGTATGAATATATTTAAAGCACCACAGTGCAGCCTGGCACTGCGTTACATTGCATGAGTTTACAGGTGTCAGGTGGGAGAAGCCAATGGCCCATCTCCCATGCCAGCATTTTTCTAGCCTTATTGTGCAGTCCCATTGCTAGCTCGTGGCAACACTGGAAATGTGTTGGCACATGGGCAGCCCATTGGTTCCCCATGCCCCAGGCACATTTAAAAGCTCCACTTCGGAAACCTGCACGCAGGGCTGAACAGCAAGGTTTCATATGCCACACATTCCAATTAAAGTTTCACACAAAGCAGCCACAAAGATGTTCCACATTTAATGTGGAGTATCTTTGCAGCTGATTTGCCATTTTATGGCAAAATAAATTGGGAGAACATGTGGTATGTTACAATTTAACACATTTATCTCAAGGCAAATGTACTGTCTTTGGGGTAGGGCAGTTTCTTGGTGCTTCCTTGTCTTTGCTTATACAGTTCTTTGAAGCAGGACTGTCTTTGTCTTGTGTTTGTACTGTACTTGTACTTTCGTCCTTTATGGGCAAAGACAACTGCATCCAGCAGGGGAAGAGGAGGGAAGAGGAGAGAAAAGAAGTGGGAAAGAAAAAGGGAAGGAGAAACGAGAAAAGGAGAAAGAAGGAAAAAGAGAAAAAAGGGAAAGGCAAGAGAACAAAGGGACTAGGTCACGTGAGTATGTAGGTGTCTTATAAAAGTCCGATTTTCGCTTTGAACAATCTGCTGCAGCAGGGGCAGGAGAGCGATGAGGACTGGATATGGGAGGTTTTTGTTTTCCTGACTGTGCATTTGTTCATTGCTTCTGCCATGCATTGCTGTTCAAAGGCCAATGCCCCATTCTGGATTTGGGACCTCCAGGATGGACAGTCACAAGTGATTTGCTCCCACGACTCTGAGTCAATGCCGAAATTCTTTAGGGACACCTTTAGGATGTCCCTGTACCACTTCTTTGGTGCACCGTGAAAGCATACTTCATTTGACAGTTCACCATAGAAGACTTTCTTTGGTAGGCGAGTGTCAGGCATTCTTGAGAGGTGGCCAGTCCATCTTAGCTGTGCCAGTTTCAGCAGGATGTGAATACTGGGGAGAGCTGATCTTCCGAGCACCTCGGTGTCCGGAATTTTGTCATGTCACTTGATCTTTAGTATCTTTCGCAGGCAGCACCAGTGGAAGTGGTTTAGTTTCTCGACATGATGCTGGTAAATGGTCCAGGTTTCGCAGGCATAAAGGAGGGTCGGAAGGACGGTGGCTTTATAAACCTTCAGTTTTGTTGACATTCTGATGCCTCTACAGTCCCAGATTGACTTATGGAGTCTGCTGAAGGCCACACTAGCTTTTGCTAATCTCACATTGACTTTGTCATCAATGTGGGCAGCACAGGAGAGCGTGCTGCCTAGATAGGCAAACTTGTCGACCACTGACAGTTGTGTTTATAGAGCAGCTAACACACAATACCACAAATAAACAGTTACACTTCTGCACACCTACAGATTAGGTTTCTAAATGCCATGAACTGTACTTATATTTTAAGTATGATGCAAAATTGGAGACAGGTTTTCAAAAAAACCGAGACCCATAAGTGCAGACTGTTTCTTTTCTTGTATTTGAATTTATCATTAGAATAATATTTCTTGCTCTTATTTGCTGTTACTTGGTGTTCACTTTATGCTCAAGAATGCTAATCTCTTCTTCAACCTGTTCCTCCTCGACATTTACTGTAGATCAACTGATGCATAATTCCCCGCTATCATTTATTTCCTTGGCTGGAGGCAATCCAAATCCCAATACTTTTCCATTTAAGGCAGCCAAGTTCACAACAAAAGATGACACCAACATTGAACTTGGAGAGAATTTGATGAAGAAAGCTCTCCAGTATTCAGCCTCCGAAGGGTAACTAGCAGAAAAAAATAATCCTCCCTCCCCTTTCACTGCTCTGTAATCAAGACTGTAGATACCAGTCGTATGTTGTATTCTGTCTTCGTATTATGGTCCATTGTATGTTTTGTCATACAGCATCTTTAGATCCTTGCTACACTATTCTGCTGTCACTGACATAACCGAAAATAGAATAGTGATTATATTTTCTAACAACAACAGCAAAGTCTAAAACACTCAAAATACCATTTATCCCTATTTTTTGGGACACATAGTAAATTGCTGCAGGTTTGTGTCTTGTTTATTATTATTTATTTAGTAAATATATTTATTATAATGGTAATGAGTTAAATTTTGCTTTAGTTTAATTTTTTCCATTGTGAGCCACTGGGAAGTATTTTTCTATTATTCTGCTGATTAACTTAATTCATCATAGAGTTTTTAAAAACAGTATATGTAAAAGGCCTGTTTATTACACTTTTCATGTTTTATGGACAGTCTTTATTCCCCCTCTAGTGATTCTCGGGATATTACCTATAATTTAAACTAGTGCTAGCATAATATGTAGTACCCACAGAGGTTTTTAAGAAGTCAGAATACACTGATGACTCAAGAAATTAACTCTAAGGATATTGTGAAGTATTCTAAAGCAAATGTATTTGCTGTGAACAAGGTATTAAAGATTCTAATAATTCACAGATTTTTTCAAGCCAGAAAGGCTTATTATATCATCTACTCTGAACTCCTGTATAACACAGACCAATTTACATAATTACAGCTAAAGCATGTCTTCCAGATACGCATCCAGTCTTGATTTGAGCATGTCAGGTGATAGGAAAATCCATCAAATGAAATCCACTAGATTAAAGAGCCCTCTAGTACATTATATTTTCTGTTTCTGATTGAATTTACAAACTGTAATGAAAGCATTCCTTGATTTTGATCAGCTAATGATTAAGGATAAAAGGATGAAACTTGTCTTGCAGAATTGCAGAACTGTTGTCCTGGCTAAAGGATTTACAGAAGAGTCTTCACAGTCCTCCCACAGCCAACTACAGCCCTGAACAGGGACAGATGGAGCTGTGTGTCACCAATGGCAGCCAGGAAGGACTTCACAAAGAAAGACTGAAAAAACGTACCTATGTGGATAGTGTCTGTATGTGAAAAACAGCCTTGCTAGCCAGTGTCAGAAAGCAACCCTGCTATACAAACTACAAGCTCTTTCAGATGTCTACAAAATTTAATGAACTCAGGGCAGTTCCATACTAGGAATTCAGTCTTTTGGTTATTATTTTAATAAATGTTTGCTCAACAAAAATTGAACTATATTTTGAAATGCACCCAAGTGTCTTGGTACCTTCAATGCCCTTTTCCAAAGTGATTTAGTCACTTAAGATTGTATGTCCCACTGATTTCCAACAAGACTTAGGCTTCTAGACCAGTGGTCTCCAAACTTGATCGTGCACCCCCATCAGTAAAAAATGTTGAGCATGCACCCCCAATACATGTATATTTATATAACGCACACCCCTATCAGTAAAAAATGTTTGAGCACACACCCCCAATATATGTATATTTATATAAATATAAATAGAAGTTCTAGTATTTTCTTCCCACACCCCAATGGATCGTCTTGCGCACCCCCTGGGGTGTGTGCACCCCACTTTGGAGACCACTGTTCTAGACAGCTAGGTCAGAATTTTACCCTAGATTGAGTTTATAGCACTTAAGTGTATTTTTTGTGGAAAAAATTCCCCCTAGTCAGGAAATTAGAGAGGCTAGGCAGAATGCATGAAATATTTTGTTTTCTTATCTAACTGAAATTTTACTTTTAGCATCTTTTTCAATTGGCTGGACCCGATGATCTTCCGAGGTCCCTCCCAACCTTAAAATCTATGAGTCTATGAATTAGATTTAACTTCCAATTAGATCATGAGCAATTACTGAGATTGTACAACGCCAAACTCTGGTTGTAAAAATAAAGAATATTCTTCTTTTTCAGGTATTTGACATGCTCATTAACCATGGAGATACTGTCCTTTTAGATGGATTCACCTATCCTAGGACAGTGGCAGCAGTGAGTATAGTCTCGACCCCCAAACGTGTCCATGTTCCTTTTGCAAAGAAACAAGATCCAACCAATCAAGTATTATTACCAGTTTTAAAATGCACTCTGTCCAGGAGCTAAGTACCTGTTTGGAAGGCTTAAGTAAAATAGACATGCATACAAATGTTGTCTTGTTTTTAAAATCTTTCATATCAAACTATGTATTTATCCACTTGTTAAGGCTAACTAGTACTTTCATTCAGGAAAGCTGTCTAGCAAGGTGTATTTACATGTCACAGCTCCTAAAAGTACTTAAAACCTTGTCAGACCAGTGAGGGTAAGCATGGTTGATTCAAGGGATACTGTAATCCCATATCTGCTTCAAGAATGGGATAAATGTTCTACCTCAACAGGAAAAAAATTGACATGGCCTTGTTCCTATGGGGTTGTGGTCAGAGATAGCAGAGAAGGAGTCAGAAATACATCTAGCCCTGTAATTGTGACAGGGTGACTCACATGAGTCAACTACAGGGTTGTTTCTCTGTTACCATACATTCCTTTTTCACAAGGACAGTCCTGCTTTAAACTTCTGTCCTGGTATAACAAGTGGGCATCCTGGGGCCAGTCAGTCGTTGGCCTGCCCACTTGTTTCTGGGCTAACTTCACCCACCATGCCTTAGATGATACAATACATTGATGTTAACAAGGCAGGAGGCTGCTCATTTGCTTGCCCTATATACACAGCTCCGCCACCCCCCACGCTCCCGGACTGTGTCCCATGCCTTGCAAATGTTTCTCCAGTGCTTCATACTGGGACCTGAGCTCCAGAGTCTCACACGGGACTCTCACTCCACTCTGGAGCTCGTAGTCCTAGTGGCTTGCAGATGTTCCATGGCCTGACACCCAGCCTACTTATCTGCCCTATCACTCGGGCTCTCAGCCCCTCTCAATTCAGGGCTCCAAGCCCCATCCGATCACGGGGCTCCAACCCCTCCTCAACTCAGGTCTCCAAGTCCCCTTCTGGGCCCCAGGCACACACTACCAGAATCAGAGCTTGAGGTCCCATCCCCTTGCCCCCCACCCCCAGGCTATAATCCCTTATCCCTTTGCCTGGGAGCTTCACTAATAGGTCCCCAAGGCTTAGTGCCCCATCCCCCTGGAGCCTCTCCTGGCTCCTATGTGCAGTCATAAAACTCATCTGTGAGTCTGGGCACTGTCTCAGGTCCCTCCACCTGACCTGGGCCCTGCCTCAGCACTCACAGTAAGTCTGGCTCCCCCTGTTTGGCCTTACTACCCACCAGGGAAGTGGGGCTGGGGTTAGAAGGTGCCCCATACTCACCTTTCACTGGGGAGGCAACTGGCCTGGCATTTGCAGGGACTACCCTGCCACAGGTTGCCCCACTAGGCCATCCTTCCCCAGCAGGGTGCAGTTTTCTGTCATACCCAGGACAAGGAACCTCCTGCCATTCCCATAGTTCCTCCCTTACCTACAAGGTGTTCTGAGCAGCAGCTCAGCCAGTAGTGTCTCTCTGGCTGCTGGCAGCTGACCGCTGCTGGCTTCGCAGTTCAGAGCCCCTGTTCTTTTAGGGCACAGCTGGGCCCTGTTCTCCATTCAGGCAGTTGTGCCTAATTGGGATCGCAGCCTGCTGCAGGCTGCCTTGCTGCTGCTGCTGCTGCTGCAGCAAGTAACAGAGCACACCCTGTGAATACACCTGGGCAGAGTACACCTGGGCAAATGAACATTTTTAGCAGGATGCACGGGACAGTCCTATTGTTCAATGCTCACACTCCCCAACCCTTGTTCCTTCTGTGGCACTCTTAGCTGAGACTAGAGGTCAGAGATAGATGTGTGTAACAGAGAGTGGCAGGAGCAGTGGAGCGGGAGGAGAAAAGTGTTTCATTTTGAGACCAAGAAATAGGGTCACCATATTGTTTTTACCTATTTGGATCTCACATTGCCAGGACAGTTCTGTCAATTAACGTACTAAGACTTGCCAGAGAATAAAGCATATTCAGATGTACCTGACCACACTGGATAATACTTTTTCCAAATATTATGGTACCACTGAAATTAATGGAGTTATTTGCAGAGTAGGAAGCAGGAATATCTGAACCTCAGCCAAACTTTAGAATCATTCCAGTTTTATAGTTTGCTAGCTCAGCTGACACACAGAGGAAGAAACAGTACAGGTCTGTAGCATGATCAGGGCCTTAGATAGATGGATTCATTCACAAGGTCTGATTTTGTGTCTTGTATGTCTTCTCTTACAAACAGCTAAGACCACTGGGGTGCAACTTAGTCAGCATCCCCAGTAATGAAGGGGGCATTATTCCAGAGGCCCTGAAAGCAATTCTGTCCAGGTGGAAATCGGAAGATGCAAAAACAGCCAAGAGCAAGGCCCCCAAGTTCCTCTACATCATGCCAAATGGTAGCAATCCTGCTGGAACCTCACTGAGCACTCACCGTAAACAACAAGTATATCAGGTAGTCAGGGGTATCTTACACTATGTCCATATATTCTACATTAAAAATCCCAAATGAAAAACGGTGTAAAATGTAACATTTCAAGGTGTAAGAAAAGTCTCTCTGGTGGTATACTCCTCTATGAGGATGCTCATACCTTCATGAACACACACAAATGGTGATCCTATGTTACATCTGAAGTCTTATGACAATGGAAGAACATTAGAAGAGAGTTTTACAATGATCCTTGTCTCTGTGCTGCTCTCTAAAAGTAAGTTAGGGGAGTAAGGGAGAAGATAGAAATTAAAGAAAAGCTCAACACAGACAATATGCCCAGCAAACCTATGTAACGAGAGAAAACATCCATTTACCCTGACATACACACAAAATGGCCTACATAGTCTCAGCTCCCATGAAGACATTTGTATTTCTTGTAGCATTTGCTTTTAAAAGCTCTATAATAACCAGAATCTGAAAATACTTTCTTTTTTCAGAGAGCCATAAAAAATTCTATAGGTTTTTATAAGGATTTATATATTAAGGATGAATAAACACTGCATTAATAAACACTGCATGCAAAATAAAACAACACTATGGCATTTGGCTGCTTAAGTGCTGAAACTCCAGACAGATCTCTTACTGAAACCAATGTTGCTCCAATTCTCCTCTTATGCTCTTATGATAGAACTATGCTGTTACTAACATAAAGGAAAGTCCTATTAAAAAAATAAAATCAAATAAAAGGCAATATCATGGCCACCATGTACTAGGAAATAAAGTTGATACCTCTACAGGTCAAAGTATTAAGCAGGCAGAGGATGATCTAAACATGCACTTGCCTATGAGTTACACAAACATTTTGTCTCTTTAAACCACTGTATCTTGTAACAAATACTACTAGTTCACAATTTTGTAGCAGATTTCACTTAAGAAACACTTCCTTTTTTTAATGACAAGAAAGTAGATACTCGTTATTACCTCCAAGATAACGGTGGCAAAGACAGGACTTGGGACTTATAGTGCAGTACAAAAAAAGATAGCGGCAGATAGGATTCAAAACCAGAAACAAGTTTCATCATAAAAAGTTAGGTGGCTATATTCATTATTAGCCATCTAAATAAGTGACCACTAAAAGGAAGCTGTGGGGAATTTAGTGCTTTGGAAAAATTATAGGGGTGTAGTTTATAGCCATGTTGGTGTAAGGACATAGGCAGATAAAGTTCTTTTGGTGAATCTGATATCTTTTATTAGACCAACTTAACAAACCTGAACAAAAACCATTTTAAACCCAAAAGCTTGCTAAGAAAAATGTTTCCAACTATTTAAGTTGGTCTATTAAAAGATATCAGGTTCACCCAAAGAACCTTGTGTGCCTTAAAAAAACATTATACCACTTTATGTTGCAAAATACAGATTTAGGAATCTAACTTTAGGTTCTTATGATTAAAAATATGGGGATCATTTTAAATCTTGGTTTAGCCTTGGACTTGTCTTTCAATGTGTATTCAGTCACCTGTGAGATCTAGTGACTGTGCCTTCTACCACATATGCCCAAACTATTATTTTACCTATGGTATATCCACTATGTAGGAGGCTACATCTTTACCTGGAAATCACTGTTTACATCAGTGCTATATCTTGTATCACACGAAAAAAATTGAAAAATAATCCTACTTTAGTGTGTCAATGTGGTGTAGTGGCTCAGTACTCAGGTGACCTACGTTTTATTTTCCATCTCTGCCATTGCCCTGCTGGGTGACCTTTGGTGTGTCACTTCATTTCTCTATGCCTCAGTTTCTCAATCTGTAAAAAAGAGATTATGTTTGAGAAAAGCTTGGAGAGCTTCTGGTGAAACATCACATCTTAGAATCAGGTGTTATTGTCAGACATTACATATTTTCCAAATACTTAATCAAAAACTTTCAAAGAATGTTGATTCATCTTGGTTTTGTGCTTTTGTAGCTTGCAAGAGATTATGATTTCCTTATAATAGAAGATGATCCATATTACTTTCTGCAGTTTGAGAAGGTAAAGACTTGTTTATGTTCATTGGTATCTACAGTGCATATTTTTGGACTGAAGAGGGAGAGGTGAACTTCAAAGGGTTCCGCAGGGCTCGGTCCTTGGGCCCGCACTGTTCAACATCTTCATCAGTGACTTGGACAAAGGGGTAAAAAGCACCCTGTTCAAATTTGCTGATGACACTAAGATGTGGGGGGCATGCTAGAAGGGAGGAATAGGCTGCAGTCGGACCTAGACAGGTTACAGGGGTGGGTGGATGAGAATAGGATGGGATTCAACACCGACAAGTGCAAAGTGATGCACCTGGGGAGGAACAACCAGCACCATACCTACAGGTTGGGGAACTCCCTTCTTGTCAGTACAGAAGTGGAAAAGGATCTTGGAGTCATCATTGACTCCAAGATGAACGTGGGCCGGCAGTGTGGGGATGCAGTCAGGAAGGCCAACCGCACCTTGTCATGCATCCACGGATGCATCTCGAGCAGGTCCAGGGAGGTGATCCTCCCCCTCTATGCGGCACTGGTCAGGCCACAGCTGGAGTACTGCATCCAGTTCTGGACGCCGCACTTCAAGAGGGATGTGGACAACATGGAAAGGGTCCAGAGGAGGGCCACTCGCATGATTGGGGGCAGCAGGGCAGGCTTTATGAGGAGAGGCTACGGGATCTGAACCTGTTCAGCCTCCACAAGAGAAGGCTGAGGGGAGATCTAGTGGCCTGTCAAACTAGTCAGGGGAGACCAGCAGGCATTGGGGAAGTCCCTGTTCCCCTGAGCACTGCCAGGAGTGACCAGGAATAACGGTCACAAGCTGGCAGAGGGTAGATTTAGGCTAGATATCAGGAGGCGCTTCATGGTCAGGGCGGCTAGGATCTGGAACCAACTTCCAAGGGAAGTGGTGCTGGCTCCTACCCTGGGGGTCTTTAAGAGGAGGTTAGATGTACACCTTGCTGGGGTCATTTGACCCCAATACTGTTTCCTGCCATGGCAAGGGGTCGGACTAGATGATCTACTCAGGTCCCTTCCGACCCTAGAAACTATGAAACTATTAAGTATCCCACTCTAACTAAAATAATTAAACATTGAGTTACTACTTAATATTAAATATTCAGTTAATGAACATTAAATGATTACCTCTCTTGGAAAAAAAATAAGTACACTATCTTCAATTTTGTTGAGGGTGCCAGGGTTTATGCTCAAATGGATATTTAAGAAAAGGTCTTGAGGAGGAGGGAGATTTCCCTGATTACAGCACTTAATGCCCTAGCATTGAACCATGATAATCAGTGGGGACAACTGGAAGGAAGCTGGTGATATACCTGTAAGCAAGCCTTCTTAACTTATTTTAACTCTGGTACACATCAGCCATTTGTGTTAATAATAGTTATCCTTCCTAGTTTTGCAGGAGCAACTGAAGATACATACCTAATGCAGCTAGCAAGGCACCTTTTAAATGGTAGGGTTGCCCATGAATCATCTATGCACTAAACATGCACCCTCCCCTCCCATCTTTCAGTTGCTCCAGGATCCGGCTCACTGGTATAATAGTTTCTGTTTTATTTTAAATGAATTATGTCAAATTTACAATAACTCTGTTCAAGATCAATTATTTGGTAGTATCCTTTAGCTAAAGATCTACAAGCTTTCAAAGCTGACTTAGCAGATGTAGTTCTAATACATGTACATGTGGCCCTATCTGTCCCTTTTTAGTGTATTGGCTTCTCATTGATTCATGTTATATTTGATCTTCCTTTAGAAGATCCATTTCAGCAACAGGTTTATGGCAATTGTTAGAAATGATCATTGTCATGTAAATATGTTTTGCTTTCTTGGTTGGCAAAAGTCAAGCAGGGATGCTTTGTTGCTAATAAACCTAGCTAATAATTTACTTCTTCCCTTTTAAGCCTTGGACACCAACATTTCTGTCACTGGATGTTGATGGTCGAGTTATCAGGACTGACACCCTGTCTAATATTATCTCTCCTGGGTAAGATCTGCTTCAGAATACTGTCTGAGAATAAGTGTAGGAGATGAAGCTCTACCTGCTATTGGATGCTACATATTCTCTTGTTCATTGATACAAATTGATCCCATTAACACTGTTAGGTCCATACACATACAGGTGAACAAACACAAACAGAAATCCTTACAATGAAGAGTTCCTATTGTGGTGCTACAACTCCTTAGAAGCTAGCAGTTGGATATCACCTGAAAACTAGCTCATTTCTAGGGTTAAGAGATGATTGAAATTAGAAGGCATTGGTCTCATCTGTGGAAAAATAAACAGAAAACATGTTGGATTCTTGAGGGAGGAAGCATTCTCACCTGCTGTTTTCCCTGCATCACCCTTAAAATATGGCAGTCTTTTCATTTTGTTCTTACATTCTGAAGGAGTGTCTTTTAAATCTTCTCTAAGTGTAAATGCTGTGCCTGGGAGCAATGAGCTCCAGTTCAAACTGCACCAGAGTTTATTGTGTTGCATTAATATTCATGTGTAGACATACTCAGTATCTGCTTTTCCAAACCACACATGGAACACCATAGACTTGGCTAGGGTCCCACACAGGGCTCATTGTAGCATTAGGGCCTATGAAGTCTCCAGTTTCAGCAGAGTCATATACATGCTAAATGGATCCTAATAATGTTTTAGTGCTGAACCTATTTAAATAAGTTAGTGGATCAAATATTCTACTGGTATGAATCACTGCACTTCTATCAACTTCATCTTAAACCAGTAGAGAATTATTGAGACTAATGCTTTTTCTTTTCCCTTAGGTTGAGAATAGGTTTTTTAACTGGCCCCAAATCTCTTATTGACAGAGTAATTCTGCATATTGAGGTCTCAACAATGCACACCAGTACTCTCACACAAGTAAGTGCCACTTCATCATCAGAAATGTATATTGCTTTTGGAAGCTAAAAAGCTTCTTCTGTGATCAGGTACTGTAACTTTTATTCACACCATCCCCATTCACTGTCTCTTAGTGAGAATAGAACTGTGGACGAGATGGATGATTCTCATTTTGGGAACCTGGTTCTGCCGTAAGCAGGGGGTTGAATTATATGATTTCTTGAGGTTCCTCCCACCCTTATTTTTCTAGGACAAAGACCAGGAAATAATGCTGCATGGAAAAAAAGTGTTCCTTAAAGGAGCCTAAAAGACCTGGAAGGGCTGGTTGAATGGCCCATGTGGATTAGATTAGATAAATCTGAGATCCTGAAGATGAAGAGATTTAGAGACCAGACTTGGACTGATAGCAAACTGGGAAAGCAGTGACAGGTCTGAAACAACAGGATTCTTTGTTGTACAGATGAGGGAACAGGAAGAGAAATTTTGTCTGGTTCATTTCAGGTAATCTTATCTTATACATAAAAGGTCTCATAACAGGGGAATTGTTAATATTCAGGAAGTCCCATAATTGATAGAAGTGGCATCCTGCCCTGAATAATATGGAAGAGATTATGAACTGACAAGGTGGTACTCAAAGTTACTAGACTGAAATAGCTGATGTTCTTTTTCTCAGGTACTAATATCACAGCTTCTTCACATGTGGGAGGAAGAAGGTTTCCTGAACCATGTAGACAAGTAAAGTGCTAATATGTTGTTATTACTACTGCTAAAATGTATTTAATAGCAAAAACAAAAACTGATTCTGGTTTCAAGCCTACAAGAGAGATGCTTTCTGAACATCAAATATTTGGAGCATCAATTCTGTGTACTAAGAGGTGGGGAGAAGAAATAACTAAATAGCTGATGAGTTTGTAGTTATTGTACTAGTTACTACTAAACTGAGCAATCTCCCTGAAGCCTCAGCAACAACCCATCAAAAAAGACACTAAGGACCAAGAAGGGTAATGTATTGATGCAACTGCTAGAACATTAGGTGCTGTAATCATTTTCCTAGGCCCTTTTCCTAGGTCATTTTCCTAGATCCACCCTGGCAACCACAAATCATTGTTTGCTGTCATGGACAACCACAAAACCTTTAAATTGACTGCCATTTTGCTCTATGGCAGAATCTGATGATAAAATTGGGTGTTAAAAATTCGTTTTAAACCCACAAAAGCCTTCTGTTACCCGTCCATATTACCCAGTTGTTGCATTTATCCTGTGGGTGGCAAGATCCACTATTAACAAAAGATGACTGAAACCAAACCAGTGTTGAATCAGAGGTTTGAAAAATCTTTACTATTTTAAGTTAAAAGATAGAAAATGCTGATAAAGGCATCTTTTACTATAAACTCTGTTTCTATAACTTGAAGGGAAGGGGTTTTTAAAGAAAATTATTTGTCAATTTAATTTTAGCTTTGTTCTTGAATGGTGCTCCCTAGTAGTTTTAGTTTTGCTTCCTACAGTGCAGATTCTTTTAAAAAGGGTTTTCTTCCCCTTTTATTTTCTGAGTACTGTGCACTAGCTACCACATATAAGTAAAAATATGCTTTGTGTTTTGATGACCTACTTCTAGTCCATTTTAATGCCATCTTAATGGGAATCCGGATTGAGTCCCTGATCTTGTCCCTACTTCTAGTCCCTTTTAAAGCTATGGGAATGTGAATCTGGTGTAGGGCTGAGAACAGGGAGGTGGTGTTTCAGGAATGAAAGAGAGCAGGGCAGGAGCCAGGATCTTAGCTGACTCCTTGTGAGCTAATCTTCACTGACACAGAGAAGTCCTGAGGATGCTCTAAGTTGCATAGAAGGCTAAATTGGGCCTGAATCAGAGGGGCTAAAAAGATGCATGAAGTACTACTTTAACACGCCCAGAGATCTGGCCCTTGGGAGATGGATAGCATTGAAATGCTTAAAAGACCAGTAAGGGGGAAAGATTTGTATATAGTTAATAATAAACTGCAGTCTAGTTGTGTGTGAGGCTTCTTGGAACTTTGGCTAATGTGTTCACTATGCCAAATGCAGTTATAAAGGACCTTTATTACTGGTATTTATTAAACTTGTGGGGGGATATATTTCTGTTGTCATTAACTTTGTGGAGGGAGTTTGTAACAGAGTCATCTTTCCAGGGTAATAGAACTCTACAGGACCCAGCGGGATGCAATGCTTGCTGCAGCAAACAAGTGGTTAAAAGGTCAGTGAGCCCAACAGATGGAGTAAAAATTGCTGATGATGGAAACTCTGAACAGCATGTATTGACAAATCTAGGATAGTAACAAGAGATCCTTGCATAAACTTTCAAAATTTCAAATTTCTCCTCTTAGCCTAACTGCATTCAATATGTATTTCTATAGTTAAGAGAATTTTTAAAAGATGATTGCAAATGGATATACTGAAGGGCTCTATAAAATCACATTCATCTGTAATACAGACTAACTCTATGTTAGATAACTGACAGCCTATAATTTTCTAGGGCCACATTTTTAAAAAGCTGATTCAAAAAAGCATATGAGCATACAAACTAGACTTGCATGCCTGAAACCACCATTTACCTTTTCAAATGGGGTGAATGTTCACCAACACAGGAATTTACATGCTTCTCATAACCAGTATCTTGTGCTCAAGTGTATTTTAGAGCTAAAGTATGGAGCATTTGTCCTTGAAAACTACAAGATGTATCTGTTAATAGTGAAAAAAACTGCTCTGTGTTTTACTTCTAGGTCTTGAAACTGGCACATCCCTGAAGCTGGAATGTTTCTATGGATTAAAATCAAGGGAATTTCCTGTGAACAGTGGCTGGCTGTAAACCAGGCTTTCCAGAATGAGGTAAGTACCTGTACCCGTGAATTGATCACACTCAAGATTGTGGTGGTTTGCTAGGGTCAACTCTACAGACCTGTTACACTGCAGAGGTACCCAAAGCACAGCCAGCAAAGACAAGTAACTTGGATGATGTGCATCAGAGTTTATTTTAAACCCAGAGGTGTGTGAAATAAGAGCAAAAGGAAAATAAGATCCAGTGAGTGAGGCTTGTTCCATTCTTTTCTAACAAATCCTAGGAAACTCCTGGAACTGGTGACAGTGCATAGAGGCCACTCCAGGCTTCCTGACCTGGCAATATGCATCCTATACATCACAAAACTGTGCATATGCATGAACTTTGCCCATTTTAAGAGGTTCTTACCCACATGTGTTCAGAATGCACATGAGATATGATCAATCATTGCTCTTAATACTAGCTATTGATTAGCACTAATACCTGCTTACTACTTCAGAAAAACATCATTAGGATGCAGTACAAGCTTGGCAGCAGGCACTTCTTCACTGCTTCCAAATTGTCTCTACCTTTTCTGTACATATGTGCAGTTGATTGTACCACTTGCTTTCTACTTACAAGTAATCTTTTTACCACAGGTTAAGTATTAACCACCTGTTTTTTCTCACTAGGTTTTAAACAAGGCTTTACTTGTGCCAGCCTTCTTCGCCCACAGGCCCCTGGCTCTGTGCGCCTTATACTTGCATTATGACATTTCTGTAAAATACAGTGACAGACTACAAATCAAAACAGATAGGTAACAGTTATTTTCAATGACTGCCAAAAGATAGGAAGAGAAATGTATCAACACTTTCTTGTGTAGGATAACCAAACAAAACCCAGTATCCGCATGTAATACAGCAGTGTTAATATTTATTACTGCGCAAAGCTAGAATGTAAGAAGTACTTTGAAATTAAATTTATTGGGTGATTAAAAAGCTGAAAGCACCTCGTATGTAAGAATTATCAACAAGGGATTAGTGCTTTTACATACCCACACCTTTTTATTCACTTCCATTATTCTGCAAGAGCAACTGGTATGATAACAATAACTTAAGAAAGCAGCATACGACACAGTTAAATACTGTAGACTTAAAGGAATGAAATAGAGAATGAAAATCATGTCAGGAGTTTGTTTGAAGGGTTTCCCTAGGAAACCATTTCATTTTTCAACCTTCAACAATAAAAATTTAAACCATTAAAATGGAATAACTGGCACAACAATTATTTGGATTTTTTAAGCCACTCCATTTTTTCCCTAGTTCTTTCCTTCTCCACCACCTCTGATTTAAAAAAAAAATCACCTAGAAGTTTATTTTAAAAATGTATTGCCAATATGGCACTTCCTTATTAAAAGATTGTGAACTAATTCATTTTATTAAAAATGTATTTTTGCCAAGACTTTTACTCACAGTGGGCATGAGTGGGATCTCCCTTTACTTCAACCAGTCCAGTCCTATCAAAGATAGTGAGCTACACGGGTGATTCATGCTCCTATTAATAAAGCATAAAATGAACATCACCTAATTTTCAGGCTACAAGTTCTGTTTGCAGAGATGGCAGCTAAACAAAATCTCTGAAGTTATCAAAACCAAGGGTCCAACATCTAGTCCAAGTACTTACTTATACTCTGAACCAACTTAAAGTAGAATTGGACATTATATTTTTACCCAGTCACTTTTTAGAAGTACTCATTACCTCACTTCAAATCTCATATAAGTCTCAGAAAACTAACTGGTTAAAATCATATTTCTTAGATGCTGCTGTTCTCCAATCAAGCTTTTAACAGTGATGACTCAAATCCTAGCTTCTACATAAGAGCTTCTTTCTCTTCACCTTCTCAAGACCAGATGGATCAAGTGAGTGCAGGACACTGCTTAACAGTCATAAGATGAAGGCACTATCTAATTTTGTTTTGTATGTGTATATGATTATATTTAGGGGTGTTTATATTCAGATAGCACCGAGGCTTGGATCCCTACTTTTTTTCCTCTCATGCTTTTCTACCAAAGTAAAATTGGTAGGTACCTTTAGGACAGCTGTATGCTAAGTGAATTTATTCATATGTTTAAAATGGGAGTATTAGAACAGCTGGTTGGTACGCATGCAATTCTCCCTGGGATTTGGTTGAAGTCATATACACACCTGATTGAAGCTACCACCCTCTTCCTGGTGCAGTGTCCAGCTATTTCATAGGTAATTTAAAATCACAGTACTAATCTAGTGAACCTACAAACCAGTAGTAACATTGGTATTAACATTAACATTTGTCTTTCAGTCCCCATGCGCTGGCAAGCACAGCAAGGCAATATCTAACTGCCCAGCTTTCAGTTATAATGCCTTTAGGTTCAGGTTCATTATTTACAAAAGAAGTACTCTCTGAACTATGCATGCGTGATGGCCAATGTCACGGGGGAAATCAGCTGAAAGAACCCCG